TTTGAGATTGTACAGCTTTGAAAATGAATTCGCCGAAAAGAGAACTCTTCGCTGAACTAATCTATGCTTCCTAGTTTAATGTTTAAACATATACTTGGATGTTTGAGGTCAATCCCAGATCAATCAACCTGAGTTGTTGCAAACGTCCTAGTCTTCTATAACGATTGGCCTTGTTACGCATCGATGGTGAGTGATAAAAATTGAAGGCGATGGTTTAGAGATTCAAAATGACCTAGAACTTGGCGGTTGATAATAAACGCTTCCAAGCGCATTAAGGTGCATATCGATCTCCAAGGTACACCATGAATAACATTGAGCTAATTGTTTTCTAAACACGCAATGATCTTGGAGTCATCGTCAGCAAAGACTCAAAACTCCTGCACATGAGAAAGCCACCAAAAGTTTTGTAACCCTATGGACAGCACGTAAAGTATGTACCCATGTCGGTGTGAATTATTTTCGACTTCGTATGGAATGTTCTATCGCACAGAATTATAGCATCGCACAAGAGTGCCTAGCCGGTGCTTAAAAGGAGACAGTAGGCTGCTTGAGAAGATTCGACGAGCCGCAACTGAGCTGACTACTGGGATCACAGACCTCCCGTTCGACCATAGACTAGCTAAAACAAATCTTTTGAACTTTTCAAATAGAAGAATCAAATGTTACTGATTGACTGAGTGACAAGTATGAATCTAATCTAGCCTTATTTTTCTTGTCTTTCGGGAAATAGAGTTTGAGAATTCACCAAAGAAAATCGCCATTCAAGAACAAATATTATGTCAGCTGACTATCGACTGCCTCATCTAGTCGTGAACGAATGGAGTGTTGAAGCACCCTGTGTTGATGCTCCTAAAAAGTAAGTCGTATCAACAGAAAGAACAACACTGGCAGGAGTAAAAAGAGCCCACTTAGTCTCATATCATTTTGAGCTGAAACTGTAATACGTAAATCAGGGAGCAGAACAGAGGAATAAAAAACAACGGACGTAAAATCCAATAAAAACTAATTAACTGTCTTTGAGAGAACTCTACCATTGTTGTTGATCAAAGTGAGGTTGATACAGTCTATATACATTGTTTCGCAATCCCTATAGTGAGTTTCATTCTTTTAAAGCAAATAATTACTATTTGATGGTCACAGAGTTATTGGATGTTGAATAAAAAGGGCAATAGAAATCGTTGTGTTTAAGTATGCTAATAATATAAATACCACGAAAACAACGAGAACACCACCTCAAAGTGCAGAAGATGGAATTGTGTAAGTCAATACAGCTTCTTATTTTTCATACGTCTTATCTATATCCAAACTAACAGTAAAGTAACTATTCTTTCGTGAAATAGTAGACGATCGATAATTTTTTAATAACACGATAGTATTGTGCGAATTTGAGTATAAATTAGTTGGTGAAATACTGTAATGATTGAGAAACAAAACATGGAACATGCTCCATAAGTCTTAATATTAGTGGAGCGAAAAAACGCTCACAAATTTTGCTGGTAGAAATGACGAACACTCGTGAATTATACATTTTTTAATTACATTCTATATACTGAGAAAAATGGAGTGACTATAATTTATGGACAAACCAATCAGATATAAGATAACAAATCATAAATTTGGGCCCAGAATTCATTCATACATTTGGCTGAATAGAGTTTTGACACTATAGCTGATGTCAACTCGTGATAAAAACCCTAAATCTAATTTTTAACCCTAACCATCAACTGTAAATGAGAACTCTAACTGCTTTATAACCATCATTTAAACCTTATTGGAAGTTGTTCACTCTCAAAGTCACTTCAGCGTCGCTCAAAGGTTGTCCATAAATTATGGTTCACCAAATTATATATGTAGCATATTAGGACATATTCGTGCCGTATCAATTATCATTTCAGTTGAAGTGCTGATTTGATCATCATCTAATCTGTTAATTTGATAACATGTAAGGCACAATCCAATTAACAGCATGAAGTTGTAAACGTAGAGTAACTAGGATGTATGATGTCCTGAAATTGAATTTCTTTTTGAGTTTATCTAGAATGATTTATAAAAGACCCTTAAAAAATGAAGGTGACTTCTCCTATAAACTAATTATGATTACATAACCCATTCTCTGCTGAACGATCCTAATACAACCAGTGATATCAGTTTTTGATAAAAGACTAATGAGTTGGAGTCTTACAATAAACATACGTATGTAAATCATGTTCAGGACATTTTGACCTAATACTATCAATATACGATACACAAGCTGAGCAAACGATCAGTGTCAATCAAATGTCCTTTGCCATTATTCTCCTGAGGTAGTTAGGTCAAATGATTAACAATATATTTCGAATACCCTATACTTTTGTTTCATGTGACTTTGAATAACACAAGTGTTCGATTTGTAAAAATACGACTACCTTGTTCTTCTCCATGAGTGAATGAACAAGATCAATGAATATAGCAGATGTTTATACATTCCAGACATTTATTGAGATCCCTCATCTATTCTATGAATTCATTCTCACTATCTCAAATGTACAACTAGTGTTTTCTGCCACTACTTACACTATTACCGCATCTACAACTCTGATGTTCGTAATGATATTTTATCTGACCATTCTTGTGTGGCATGTAGAATTAAACAGACTCACACACATGTGTCAGGTCCTATATTTCACAAGATTAACTGACTGAGGATATTCAGGCCGTATAAGCTTTTGTCACCAATGTTCAAATGCTTCGTAAACATTCTTAAAAACCGTCAACATCGAATTACTGTTGTATGTTTGTATCAGCCTTTTCTTACCGATTCAAGTTGGGACTGTGTACACATTGAGCGCTTATGTTCACCCATTAGAAAATCTACGTAGGTTTTTCACTCCAGCAATTATACTTATACGGTTACGTAAGACTTAGAAATGATCATTACTGTCACAGCGTTATTCCAATTATCTCGTTATTACAGGTCAGAAATTCGATAATGTCTTCCCGCCGAAAATTCGCCGTTGGCTCGGATTGGCGCTAGCAATTTTCGATGTTTTTCTTTTTGGTGGTTATCACTACGGCTTCAATTCCCTCATCACAGTCTACAAATCAGTTGGCGTCTACGCTTACAACTGTACGGAAACTGGCTGCTCTTATCATTATGATATGTTCGGAGTTGTTTTCATGGTTTGGATGGTGTCACAAATGTGTCTTATTGTATTTGCTGGGATACTGATGGATAAGGTGGGGCTGAGAATATTAAAACTGCTGGCAGCTGTAGTATACTTTACTGGTACCGTAATGTTTGCATTTACAACTGGTGAAACAGTGCCACTATTCTATGCTGCCGGTATACTTGTCGCTTTAAGTAGTATATGCAGCTTGATATGCAATCATCAAGTCAGTTCCATGTTCCCACAGTTTCGTGGTCTTTGTATATCGCTTTTGTCTGGAGCGTACGACTCAAGTTCGGTTGTAGCTTATGTGTTGTCGTTGACCTATCTTGTATTCCCATTCAAATGGTCGTTTATTATTTTGGCTTGCGGCTCAATAGTTGTTGGCAGTTTTGTGGCACTCTTTATCCTTACTCAGAAATCTGAAGATATGGGGAAATTCTCCTCCATCAACACAGAAGAAGAAAAGTTATGTGAGGTAAGTGACAATCAACTATTGTTATATTTGCAGACAGCAACACAGATTTGTGTTTTTAAGGCAACCGGTCTGAATATATTTAGATTGAAAATCTAATCACATTCGGTGTTGTAAACCTTGTCAGTGATGTTTAACTTAGAATTATGTTCTTCTACTAAACACTTCAACGAATAACACCAGTCAGTTTAGCCTCAGTTGTGCAATCACTTAAGCGTGCTGTGTAGATTTAGTTCAAACTTATCATATTCTGACATACAAAATGATAGTTTCATGAGATGATTAGTGCGCTATTTCACGTGGAGGATAGACTAAACTGCTTGTTTCAATTGCAGTAGAAACTATCCATAACAAAACCACTAAAAGTGAAGATGACGGGACTTCGGAATCGACAGAATCTTAAATTTTGTAAGCATTTCACATATTCTAATAAACTGTAATGTGCGACAAAATCAATACAATCATCGAACTCCTTATTCTGCTCAGATCGCGTTTGTTTGAAATCTGTCACAAGCTATATATACCATATACAATTTGTTTTCATTCCAATTGAGTGTGAATACGGATTTTTGATGAGAGGAAGACGCTTTCCCGAAGATCTCAATTATAGGTATGAAATGCCATTATTCCTAATAACAGAATCTTGCTCGTTATGCACATCGTAGTTTACTGATCTTCTACAGTCCCCCATTTATTTTTACTATGATGGAACATTGTATTATTTTCCGTTTTATTTTGTCATTATCTATTCAACTTGACAGAAATGCATGGTTTAGAAGTCGAAGCAAATCTTAGAATCTAATACAGATATGAACACAATTCTCCCACCACTGACGGTTATTATTGTTCGTCTTTCTTATATTTGTTTTGTAACAGAAAACGTCAATTGAAAGTTCGGGAGAAATGGATATCTATGGAGAAATATCTTCAATTTTGGATAAACGTTACCCATCTTTATTAAGTTGTGTTTTTTCTTTATCATGCTTACTGATTAATCTTTGGTTTACTTTGGGTTTGTTTCGTTTCTCATTTTACCTATCGCACTTAGCAAAACACATAAATGATGCGTATCCTGACAAGTCAACTGCAGATCATTTGTTAAGTATTTCCTCAGCATTCTTCATGTCGAGTTTCTTACTGTCACCAGTTACTGGTCTTATGATTGACTTCTGTCTCAAAAGAGCTCGAACGAGCATTAAGAACATGCTCACCAACGAACGTGATTTAGCGAATCCCGATAAAATGTATTATACTCTAACACTTGGCCTAGTCCCGGGACAAGGTCTTTTGGCTTTCTCTGCTGTTGCTCTGAGTGCAATGATGTTTATACCTAGTCCTATAGCTTCTTATGCATCGTTTGTATTCTTGGTTATATTAAGGTCACTCTTATTCAGTTGCTTCATTAGCTTTCTTCTGTCTGCATTCCCAATACGTTATTTTGGTACATTGAATGGCATTACTAGTGCGGTATCAGGTTTAATATGTCTCTCGACGAATGCCTTTCTTCGTACTAGCAGATCTACAGATAATTATGTAACCATGGCGATATCGATCGGGATATTTGTTGTACCTATTATTTTTCTAATCAAATCAAGACAATAAATCAGTCAGTGTTGTGATCTTATGAAAATCTTGTTTTTATTTTTATATTGAGACCCGAAATTAGATATGAATGCTTCAATATTTAAATTTTGCAACAACTTATATGGTGTAAACTTTCGTTAATTAATTAATTTTTTCAATAATAAAAATTTATGCTGAGGTCCGGTGTTGAAACATATTTTTTTTTAATAATAATAATCGGCAAAAGCTGGCCAGAAAATGACCATTGTTTATAAACACTACCGTGAATTGTCTCACATAACAAGTGAAATTAACATAAAAACTCTCTTAATGTCATGTTGTTCATAAAAAAATGTAACTTGAAGTGTTAGTCTACACAGAAGGAGTTGAGAATGAAATTACAAGACATGGTCAATGGTCTTTGGAAAACGACACAGCACTCGACAAGAACTGGACAAGAGAGTGCAGGACATTTTTTTAAATAACCATCTTTGGTAAACTAGGTTCTATGAAGGCTAACAGGCGTAGTTAGTAAGTAACTAGGATGAAACCTTTAAAGAAAAACGACTTTATTTAATTATTTGAGTGATCGATAATTGGTGCATATTGTCTCTCCTCCATTTTATGAATCAAAACATTCCTAAATAGTAACAGGGAGATTCGTAGAATGTATAAGACCAAGCTTGCCTAAATATCATAAATTAAAGATATGTCTTAAGCCTATGGTTAGTGAGTGAAGTATTTTTTGGTGTTAAGAAGCAACAGAATATTTAGTTCTATGCAGTATGTGAAGGAGTTCGGTTACTAACCGTATTGGAGAAAGATCTTTAAAATATCGAGGATGGGCAAAATAAAGGTGTGAATATCTGAAAGTGGATCTACCAGTAGTTCAGTTCGCTAAAATTTATAATGTCAGACTCATTGATGAACTGACATCCAACTATTTATTTTCAAAAATTATTCCCAGTTGTTTTCATCTGCTAACATAAGAAATTATATACATCATAAAAATACAACATGTACCACAAATAGAGGATTACATGATATAATATTGGAATTTGAATGTCAAAAAAGGAACAGCCAATGTATAAGTGAAGAATGACATTCGGATACATGTAACGATAATAACTTCCTGAAAAGTGCAGTTGAAACATACAATCCTCTTCTTCCAGTTCTTCTGATTGTCACTATGTCGATAAGAATTTCAATGAAATCCGGACATTATTCATATTATCACGCCTCTTATCCAAAACACATCAACACACGTTGTATCGGAGATACGGAGAAAGAAAAGAAAGTTGAGAGTGGGCGTGGATATGATCAAACATTTGGAAATAGAACTCAATATCATTTAAATCTCATTCAAAATAAACTCACTAGACAATTTCATAAAGTTCATTATTGACTCTTAACTAATTAGTTAACATACATAATTGTACGATCAAAAGAAGCAAAATTCACATAAGTATTTTGACCTTGTAATTAAAGATATCAATTTGGCTGTATAATCAGACAATAAAAATTATAAAAAACATATGATTCTTGATTAAATTCCTCAGAGTCTTAATATTTTTTCAAATAGTATTATTAAGCAATCATTTCTCTATCATATTTGCTCCGTCAGATATGACCATGATTTTGATGAAGTATATCAGAAAATACAGGCACGTGACAGATGCCAGATCTTCCAGAATTTATTCATCAAGTGTGACTGTGGTTGTGTTCACCGTGTTGTATTTGACGATCTTGCTTTTCGGATTGTGTATGTTGAGGCTTAGTGATGTAGTGGCTGTTGCTACGCTGATTGTGTTGACCTGCATTTTTTCGAGTGTATTTGATAGAATAGCTGGGTGATCTACGAAATCCAAATCGTCCAGTTGCTTCTAAGGTGTCAATTGTATTCTGTGCTTCCCCTCACTTGTGAGGGTCGTCATAATCCAGTCAACTTGGATCAATCCTTTCTCCGAAAGTAAAATTAAAATGCTTTTATCAACACTTTCCATAATAAACAGAATGTTTACATTACTAACGTTAAGCGATGTATTTTTGCTGGTTATATAATTAAAAAATTACATTTATGAAGGCATATTTCCGTCAGCATTTGCTTCCAAGCTGTTCACTGTATTCAATGCTTGCCGTCAGATATCGATGTCTTTATAGTCTAGAAGAAAGAGGAAGGGGCAGAGTAGGTAGCTTTGCCTGATTTCGGCTCTCACTTCGAATGCGTCAGTCAGCTGTCCTCCATGGACGACTTTGCAGTGTAGTTCGTCGTATGAGTTCCGTGTGTTTTTAACCATCTTCTTCGGTAAACAATAGTATCGAAGACGTTCCCATAATGTTCTTCAAACTACTTTGTTAAGTGCTTTCTCATAATCAAAGGAGTTGATGTATAGTGACGAGTCACATCCAGTTGATTGTTCAACGATGATCCGCGATTTGGTTTACACAAGACCGATTCTTGTGGAAACAAGCCTGCTGATATCGAAGTTGAGTGTCTACTGAATCTCTCATCCACTTCAGCCACAATTCGTTGAAAACCTTTCCTGGTGATGATAGTCGTGTGATGACTCTGTTATTCTCACTTTTGCTCAGACCTCCTTTCTTTGGTATCTTGATGAGGTGTCCCTCTTTCCAGTCTATCGGCACTTGTTCTTCCTCACAAATCTTCATGAATAGAACGTAGAACATCTCTGCGGTTATTTTCATGCCTGACTTCAGTTCTTCAGCTGTTGTGTTGTGTGGTCCTGCTGCTTTCCCACTCCTGATTTGTCTGATGGTTATGCTTAATTTGTGGGTTTGACATCTATAGGAAAGTCTGTGTGTGTTGCCTCGATGTCCGATGGGTTCAGTGAGTTTGGTCTATTCAAGAGTTCTTCAAAGTGTTCTACCCACCTGTTATTCTGTTCTTAAATCTCATTGATTGGTTCGCCTTCTTTGTCCTTGACTGCTCTCTGCATTACTATATTTCTCTTCAACAAGATTTGGGATGAGGAACAAGTATCAACAGACTGGTAAGAAGGACGTCTGATCAAAATACCGAAGAAAGGCGATCTCAACAAGTGTGATAACTACAGGGGCATCACTCTTCTCTCAATACTATGGAAAGTCTTCAACAGGGTATTGTTAAACACAATGAAGGACTGTGTAGACGCCCAACTTCGTGACCAACAGGCTGAATTCCGTAAGGATAGATCGTGTACAGACCAAATCGCAACTCTACGGATCATTGTGGAACAATCAATTGAATGGAATTCATCACTCTACATCAACTTCATTGACTACGAAAAGGCATTTGATAGCGTGGACAGAACAACACTATGGAAACTTCTTCGACACTACGGCGTGCCTCAGGAGATAGTCAATATCATACAGAACTCATATGATGGATTACACTGCAAAATCGTGCATGGAGGACAGTTGACAAAGTCGTTCGAAGTGAAGACCGGTGTTAGGCAAGGTTGCTTACTCTCACCCTTTCTCTTTCTCCTGGTGATCGACTGGATCATGAAGACGTCAACGTCTGAAGGGAAGCGCAGGATACAATGGACATCTAGGATGCAGTTGGACGATCTAGACTTCGCAGATGATCTGGCTTTTCTATCCCAAACGCAACAACAAATGCAGGAGAAAATGAACAGTGTGGCAGCAGCAGTAGGTCTCAATATACACAAAGGGAAAAGCAGGATTCTCCGATACAACACAGCATGCAACAATCCAATCACAATTGATGGAGAAGATTTGGAAGATGTAAAAACCTTTACGTATTTGGGCAGCATCATTGATGAACAGGGTGGATCTGATGCAGATGTGAAGGCGCGGATCGGCAAAGCAAGAGCAGCATATTTACAACTGAGGAACATCTGGAACTCAAAGCAACTGTCAACCAACACCAAGGTCAGGATTTTCAATACAAATGTCAAGACAGTTCTACTGTATGGGGCAGAAACCTGGAGAACTACGAAAGCCATCATCCAGAAAATACAGGTGTTTATCAACAGTTGTCTACGCAAAATACTTCAGATCCATTGGCCGGACACTATTAGCAACAACGTACTATGGGAGAGAATAAACCAGATTCCAGCGGAGGAAGAAATCAGGAAGAAGCGCAGGAAGTGGATAGGACACACATTGAGGTAAGCACCCAACTGCGTCACAAGACAAGCCCTCACATGGAATCCTGAAGGTCAAAGGAAAAGAGGAAGATCAAAGAACACAGTATGCCGAGAAATGGAAACAGACATGAGAAAAATGAACAAGAATTGGATGGAACTAGAAAAGAAGGCTCGGGATAGAGTGGGTTCGAGAATGCTGGTCGGTGGCCTATGCTCCATTGGGAGTGACAGGCGTAAGTAAGTAAGTAAGTAAGTAAGTAAGCAAGTAAGTAAGTAAACCATACAGAGCCTACATCTAATACACAGTCAGACAGACATGATAAACCTGGGGAGAAGAAATACAATCGAATACAGAAATTTGGAACACTATTTAAGCTACGGCGGTTGTGATATTTGTACGAACTAATGATTCCTTTGTACTTAATAGCCTCCCGATTTCGAATTCCAAATTATGTACGTTTGTTTGTGTTATTCTAATTCTATTTGCTGTAAATTGCACTACTTCGAAAGTTCCCGGTTAGACCAATATTTCAAGTACTTACAATTAACAAAAGGTTTGAGCATCTTAGTGGACGGATCTCAATCAGAACCGTCTCTAGAACTACACGAATCCGTAGACAACTATTGACGTTTCTCTCCAGAATTCTCCAGACTTTTGAGTTATAGCGAATTGATGTATGGCAAATTCGAAGATGTATATCTGATCATGTGTTATATTGTGTGACACACTTGAAGGAAGAGATTCAACAATTTCCATCATTTGCATTATTTTCCAACTAATCATCTGACAAGTAATTTCTTTTATAGTCCTGTTGACTGGACGATTTTTAATGCTAACAATGAAATTACCTTGTTCAGGATAATTTCCTTAAACACTATTAAACCATTTAAATCCATCAAAATTGCCTGAATTCAGAGAGGAGATAACGAACAGAATTACTCTTAATACCCAGTAGAAACCCACCGAAACAGGTAAGAACACCATAAATCGTGGCACACAGGTGAAGAAATCTGATTCAAAATTAAAACCAATATCTTTGCCGTCATTTCAATTCATTGCACAACGTGTCTCATGATGCTGATAAACCTGTGAAGTTCAAG